AATTATCACCCTGATGGCTGCCTCTTCCTAGAAGCCTTGATCAAACTCATCATCACCTCTTCCGGGAAGCCTGCCTGGAAGCCTTGCTGATTAGCTCCACTGGCGCCCCCTTCTCTACACGCAGGACAGCAGGATACCGTGGTTGCCAGTGTTTCTTCTCTCAGTGACATGCAATCAGCCTCATCTCACTGAGTCTTCTGCGTCCCGAACACTGTGTAACTATCGGCTCCAGGGGCCGCCCCGCCCTGAAGGTGGGGAGAGGCTCTCTCAGTCTCCCCCACCCCCTTCGCCGGGCAGCCAGCCACATTCTCAGGAAGCGGAGTCACCCCCCTTCCTGAGTGGGCACTCTGAGTCAGTGGCTGGGTGGGGACTGCAAGAAACAGAGAAAATGAATGTGGGCCAGTGGACGCAGAAGTAGAAATTTAACCCAAATGGAACTTCCCGTGTCACTGTGGGTGGGCAGCGGCCACTCTCCACGATCTGGGGATGAGAGACTGACCAGAGCGGGTGAGGCAAGCTGTTTCATTACTGTCCCCGCAGAGCCAGACCCCTGGAGGTGTTGGAGGGGCAGAGCAGCGGGCCTGGGCAGGGATGGAGGGTGGGGGCACAGGAAGGGGCTCAGCTTGAAGCCCAGAGGGCAGCGGACCAGCGCAGAGGCTGAGGGCAGTACCCAGTCCATGGCATCTCCTCTTCCTCCAACTGGTTCTCTCTTCTGCCAACCACAGGCTCTCTGCATGCCTAGCTGGGCCCCCACTGCCAAGAGGTGGTTATCCCTCCACGCTGGGAACCGCCTCCCTGGGCCCTGGGCCACCTCTGTGGGCCTGCAGCTGGTCCCATCACTCACACCCTCTTGGGAGCACCTCCAGGAACCTCTGCCTATGAGCACTGGGTGGGTGAGGGGTGGCTCAGGGAAATCGTGAAGGCTGGTCCCTCTCTGATTGCTTCTGAGGCCCCCTTCTTGGGCACCCCATCAGCCTTATGTTCGCTCCCTCAACCACCCCCAACGTTAAGAGCACACCTACTGATTGAGTCCCCAGTGTACCAGGTGCTGCGGGGCACACAGGACAGGGACGACGGGCAGGGTTTGCGTTGTGCCTCCGTCACTTATGAGCTGGTCGACCCTGGGAAAACCTTAAATAAACTCCCTGAGCCTCAGTTTCCTCTCTTCTGCAAAAGAGACCTTAATACCCCACTCATGGGGTAGGAAAAGAATGTCTTTTCTCTTTTAGAACAATGCCTAACACACAGTGATAGCTTTCTTACTATCATTCACTCAGTCGTTTAGCAAACATTTAGGTAGAGGCTTTTATGTACAGAAGATAGCTGGATCTTAAAAGAACTTCCGAGTTACTGCCCTAGTTCCCTTCCACTCCTCCCTACCCCGAGGAGAACACACCTGTTCCCACCACTCAGGGTCAGCAGGCGAGACACAGCAGTGCACGCTCCCACCCATCAGGCAGCCCGGGAAAGTCTAGCTGCTGGCAAGGACCTCAGTCAGGAGACGACTGGCACCTGAGCACCTGCCCGGTGGGCCCAGGCACTGGGCTTGGGCTGACTTAGGACTTAAGTAAGATGAGATGGTCCCTGCGCTCCAGTCCTGCCATCTACTGGGGGAGACCGATGGCAGTCATGTGGCCAAACTGATAGGGAACACACACACACACACACACACACACACACACACACATACACCCCATGCCCAGGCCTTCCCTGTGAAACCCACTGTGACCCTAACGCGGGCACTGCCAAGGCAGGCTAGGGGGAGCAGGCAGGGATATGGCAGGAGTGCCGGGGTGTGGGCTGTCTCCCGGGATGTACTAGCATCACAGTACAGCCCCAGACCAATTTCCCTTGACGCCCAAATCCCAGTTGAGAGCATGTGATCAAGACCTTCGCTGCCCTCCTCAAGACCCTCCCGGAGCCCTCGGGGGGTCCAGTGGGTCAGGGGCACCGAAGGGGTTCGTGCCTTGCAATGATCACTTTTCCCTCACCATCTGCAGGCGCTCCCGAAGAGCCAGGGCTCAGCCCTTGTCTCCTCTGCAGGCAGGGGACCTGACTTGGTTTACACGGCCGTTTGGCACCCTGGCTCGGTGACTCGCAGTGGGAGGGCTGCAGTGATCTGAAGGAGGGGACATCACAAATGTCAGCTGGCTGAGACCTGAGTGCCAGGTCCTTGCCAGAGGCACTGCTTTCACACCAGCCTGCACCGTCTGGAGCCCATAATGTGGGAGGCTGACAGTCCATTAGCAGCAGAGTGGTCCGCAGGGCTCAGAGGAAAGGAGCTGTCTGTCACCCACCTCACTTCAAGGGCAAAATCAACTCTGTGTGTGTGTGTGTGTGTGTGTGTGTGTGTCCCCGCGCACGCCCACGCATGTGTGTATACATCTCTAAAAAAGGAACATTAATCACAGCTGTGCCTGTTAAAATAGCCACAGACAACAATCTGACATCACAGAGAGGAAATGGTGACATAGTTCTTGTCCTCTGTCCTCCTGACCCCTAGGGGCAGGTTTGAGAGACAATCCCAGAAAAACAGGACAGCTGTATTACAGAATTGGGAGACCCCTCAGGTCCTCGTGTCCTGCCCTCTCTGACATCTGGCTCTTTGCTTCAATGTTTCTGACAAGCTATCCTTTCACTTGAATGCCTCTTGTCACAGGGAACTCGCTGCCACTGTGGTTTCCAACATCCCCCTTGCCAATTCCTCTAGTGGCCAGAAAGTTCTTCTCGAGCTGAGAGCTTAGACTTGAAGCCATATAACTTTTATGCATTGGTCCTAGGTTTGCCCTTTGAAGTCAAACACACACACACACACACACACACACACCCTTTTCCCCTGGAACAGCCCTTTCCTGAGTCTCCTTGCCATGCCGACATGGTTTTAAGTGCCCTCACCAGTGTGCCTACTACTTTCTTGACAAGATCTGGTCTGTGAATCACATCTTCAAAATGCACTTCCCACCCTCAGAGACATAAAATCTTTGCTGCAACTGTTACCACTGTGAAAACGCACACACACGGGTACGGGCACGCACACACATGCGGGCACAGAAATAAAGTTCCTCTGACTGCATTTTCATCCATTTCTTCTTTCATGTCATATTGTCAAAGGCCTTGCTGCTATCCAAGTACATCATATCCAAGTACCTCACATCCAACATACATATGTTTGACCCATCCATTTTTCTAGAAAAATCCTAGAAACTAAGAAAGGAAGGCTGAGACCCAGCCTCCCAGGTGTGATCCAACAACACAGGGATGGGCAGAGTCCGCACTTTCCTTGTCCCAGACACGGGTCGCCTGTTAATTTGGCCTCAGATGACGTTAACCTTCACGGAAGTCAGAACTCGTTACTGACTCACATGGGCCTTTGGGCCAGATAACAGGCTCAGAATCCGGTGCGCTTGTCTGGATACAGGACAGGGTTAACAGAGGAGTTAATAGCATGTGATGTCTTTTGTTGCCTGGCCTCCCTGAGAAGAGGCCCACATCAAGCCCCCTCACCCCACCCCACCCCAGTGGACTTTGGGCAAAGGTCCTACAAGGGGTGGGAAGCAGGGTGATGCTTTGAATACGGGAGGTGAACGAGGTAGATCGTGGAGGGAACAGGTGCTTTCCTCAGATTAGGCCAAAATGGGGATTGGGTGACAGGAAGGAGCGCCCTCCAGGCCCACGGTACTCTTCAGCAAGGAGGACCTGCTGTCAGGGGCATTTGAACCCTTCTAGAGCAATATCCAAGAAACAAGGGTGGGTTCCAGGGCCGAACCCGAGCATGAAGCAGAAGGGAAGCAACTTCACAGATAGTGAGAGAGCCAAGGCCTGGCCAACACGCCTGACTCCTGCCCCCTGGAGACCCAGGAGTCCTGGGTGATCCCAGAGGGAAGGGAGTGGGCCCAACAAGTGACTGAGCTTGACTTTCCAGCCACCCCACAGGACAGCAGAAAAAACCTGACTCAGAAATAAAGGCACATGATATGGACTCCCAGGGTCATTGAAAAAATTCATACCCGCCATATCTGCTATCACGCCATGGAGGACCTCCCCCTTCTGATGTCATGCAGTTGATCTGGGGGACCCAAGGGTATTTATACTTACCCATGCTAAATCTCTCCTTTGACCCATCAAAGCAGCCTTTGATTTACAAGGATCCTAATGGTCAGGCATTTTATAAGCTCTTCCTCCGAAGTTTACAAAAACTGTGTCTTGGACTAATTCTAGTTGTTGACAACAGGTGTTGGACCAGCCAGGCCAAGGGCAGAAGGCAGGCTCACACGGGCTGCTACAGGCCTCCTTGCCCGTTGGCATGATACCCTGACCAGCCCGCTCTCTCCCACAGCTTGTTCAGTCTCCCGGTCAATTCCTCCGGCTAGACTGCTATCCATTCTGCATCTCTCTGCTTTGCTCCTAAGGACATATTATCAAATGCCTCGCTGAAACCCACATGTACTCCATCTACTACACATTCTCCGTCCATCAGCACAAGGACCCTATCAAGAAAAAAGAAAAATGAAAGTAGCCAAGGACAGGGGGAGTGAGGTTACTCTGGCCTGGCTGGCTCTAAGCAGTCCCTCGGGTCTCTCCTAAAGGCTCATCAAGTCTGGTCAAACCTCCCCCTCCCCAGATTCATCGCCAAAGATCCAGTACCACACCACCACCACCCCCACCGAATGTCCCAGCATTCCTGCGCTGGTCTGAGATTGACGAGTCCGAGTGCACAGTGAGACAAGAAGGAGGAAGAAAGCAAAGACGACTGATAAACACTGTTTTTATTCTCAGGTCTAAAGACCACCTTTGTTGAATCAGGAGATATAATACAAATTATGGAGGCCTGCATATAAAATCTGGCACTAAACTGGGCCTTTTAGAAACATTTATATATAAAAATGTGCATTAAAATCTGTACTACAACACAGTGCAGAGGCTCACTGACACCTCCCGACATGAGTGCTTCCGAAGGAGGGTCTGGTCTGGGGATGCAGGGAACTCGGGTCCTAGAGACTTGTGTGAGAATGGCCTGCCCTTAACAGGGGCCACAAGAGCCTGGCTTCGAAGGCAGGACCCCTCTGAGCACAGTGCCATGGGCCCGGTGTGAAAGAAAAATGGTGCCGGGAAGAATGGCTGGAGAGGAGGGCCATCCTTCCTACTCTTGTTACTGGGCTCTGACCACCATTTGAGGATCCTGGAGCTCCGTAGACAAAACACCCTTAACTTTGGAGGAAGGGCCTGCAATTTCCAAATATGTTTTTTCCAAGGAAACTGACCAATTCTAACTCCAGGACCAAATCATAATTAGCCTGATTTGAACGGGTAAGAGCCAGTTCTTGTCTTTTACGGTGGCCGAGACCATGAGACGCCACTCAGAAAGGCTATTATCACAACAGAAAAGTATAATGCTGATGGGCTCAATCTATTTCAGTCTTGGACCAAATGCAACTGAGCCACTCTCGCCCAGAAATTGTACTTTGCGGGCAGTGAAGTGAGAGGCAGCTCCGATCAGCACTGGAATTCCCCCATTCGGGGAGCAAACGATCTATGCACAAGGCAACGGAAGCCTTTGGGAGAAACGGGGTAAGTACTGCCCGTCTGTCTTCAATAAGCGAGACACCGTGCCCTCCCTGGCAGGGCCTGCCATCTGGCTGAACAGGGTCAGGACTGTGTCTATTGGCTTATTTGTTCAGGGATGCGCGACATCCCTGGTCTGCTCAGCCTGTGGCTCGGTGGAAAGTGACAACTGTCCCCAACTCAGCTGCTACGCTGCTACCCAAATAGTGAGGCTCCATGGCTGGGAGATGTACAAATGGGAACCGGACAGAAACGGAGGGTGGGCACAGGGGAGCGGGAGGCAAGGTGATGGGTTGGGGGAGAAGCCAGCCCCGGGGGCTTTAAGGAGTACACAATCCCTAGGATTTCAGGGCTCCTCATAGTTACTCAAAGGGCTGGAGTCCTTCCTGTCATTCCAGTAGACTCTACAAAGGGAAGACAGCAGCCCTACCAGTTTCTATCCAAAAGCGGAGTGACTTTTTCAGCAGCCCCCAGGGTGGGGGTGGTTCCCTTCCCCAGCCCCCAGGGTCCTGACTGGCTGGCCGCAGGCTGATCTGCCACTTCTCCGCTGGCCCGTGAGGGAAGGGACAGATGAAGGGCCAAAGGGTTCGAATCACGATGAGGCAAAAAGCCGGCGCCACAGTAGGCTGTTAACGAGGGACTTTCCGAAACAGTGTATTTCAGGCCCCAAGCATTCAAGGTAAGACACAGATGCACCCTGGGTCACCAGGCCCTGGCACCGGTTGCAGGCGCATCCTGGGAGACCCAGCAACCAGGACAACACTTCCGGCGGGTGGCAGAGCAAGCGGGAGCCTCAGTGACTCTGGCTCTTCCAGGACCAGAGGCCCCGCCAGCAGCTCCTGCAGTCTCCGGGCCTTTTCATCTGCTTTAAAGTGACCTAACAGCACCCCCTAGTGGAAATCATCAGTAAAACAAGGACCACGCACCCCATTCACCTTCTTACACTAGTAGTGGTTTCAAGACTCACCATAAAACAGAGTGACACAAAAACAAAACCTTATCTTTAGAAAGAAAATAATAAAAAAGGTGGGAGTTCACAAGGCAACCTCAGGCCCCTCGCTGCAAACCACCCGCCCTCTTCAGATTCTCTGCCTTCCACAGAAACATTCCGAGACCGGGGGGAGAAGCGAGGGGAAGCGCCGGGTCCCCTTACAGTTTGGGCAGACTGCCCACGGGGGCCAGAATGATGCCAAAGACATAGAAGAGCCCCAGCAGGAGGTTGAGTTTGGCAGTCCTCTGGGGCAGTTTGTTGAAAGTCTGGCTTCGGAACTGTCTCTCCAGGGAGAAGGCCATGGGGATGGTGAGGAGGGGGAGGGCCAGGCTGATGCTGCAATGTGTGGCCAGGATGCTGAAGATCAGGTAGGGCAGGAAGAGCAGCGTGTTGTAGAGTATGTAGGAGAGCGTGGGGCCGATGAGGATGGCCAGCGTGACGATTCCGGCCTCCCTGTCCGACTCCATGTCCCTGGTGTTGTTGGAATGGAGAATGGCCTCGGTGCTGAGGGCGAGAGGGATGGCGTAGACCAGTGGGAAGACCGCCAGGGACCCCACCTGGACGGCATAGGCGAACATCACAGCCAGCGGGCCAAAAGTGATGAGGATGACGAGGTCTCCCAGAGCCACGTACTTGAATCCGATTCCTACGGCCAGAAAACCCAGAGAGTTGGTATGAGATCGAGGGCTGGAAACCGAGGGGCCGTTCATCGGCTGGGAGCGGTGAGTTCTCGGATGGGAAGAACGGCCAGTCAGGGAGCTCCCTGCCCTCTGGTTTTGTCTCCAATGACACAGAGGAGCAGAGAACACTCGTCTGTCAGCACCCACTTAGGCTTCAGAGTCAAGTTTTCCTCCCTACTGTCGCCAGCAGAGCCCTGCAACAAAGAGCGGTGAGCTCCCACTGCACACGGTACCTAACCAGAGAGCCCGTGAAGGCTCTGAGAGGCCTCACAATCTGGGTCTTCGGCTTCTTCCCTTCACCGACCCCTGCAAGACATGGCTTCTGTCGGTCAGTCCCTCACAGGATACCCATCCCAGTCTCTTACTTTGCTGCCTCCTTCTTCCACAACCTCTGCGGGGCTCTGGTTTGGAAAGCCCTGCTCAGTGAAACTTCAGGGCACCCAAACTCCACATAAAGAAACTTCCACCCACGTGACGAGTAACAGCTCAGACAACGAAGTTACAGCACGGCTTCCCCTCTCTGGTTCCCTTGAATTACAACTAAATCACCCCAAACTCCATCCCACCTCAAATCCCATCTAAACCACTTCATTCCGACCTGCCCAGTTCTCTCCAAAGATGCCACACTCCATCGGATCTCACTCCATCCCTGAATTCTGAGTCCTGGTCACGCTATACGGGGAACACTGCGACACCCACTCTCAGGACCTCCCCTCCCTGGCCTTCCCCCGATCTCCACGGGCAGCCAGAGGGGGCCTTCGGAAACACTCATCGGACTGTGCTCCTCCCCCAACATACACCTGAAAACCCTCAGCACAGGTTGTCCTCGGATCTTTCACCAGCTTGCCTCTGGGGCTGCTCTGCCTCCCTCCGGCCTCAGCTAGAGCTCCTCTCTGCCTCACTCATATTTCTGTCAGTTCCTCCGGGCCTTCGGACACCCCACCCCGCCTCTGCCTGGCTAACTCCTACTCACCCTTTAAGACGTTAAAGCCCATTCCTCCAGGCAGCCTTCCCTCATCCCCTGAGCCCTTGCAATACACATGCTCCCAGGGGACCCAGATTTCCAGCTTTGTAAAATTAATCACACTTCTAATGACTCTGTCTCCGTCCTTCCCTCAAACCCTAAGTTCCAGAGGGCAGGGCCTTGGGTCAGGTTTGTTCACAGCTCGCTCCCCAGTGCGTGGCACCAAGGCTGAACCGAACACAGAGCTACAGTAACAAGCACCCAGAGCCTGGGGCCCAGGTGAAGAAGAACGTCTCACTCAGAGTGAGGCAGCCCGGGCCGCTGAGAGGTGGGCCCGGCACAGACCACTACAGAAGTCTGGGAAACCTCCGGGTCTAACCAAGCTTCCAACTCATGGCCTCAGGATCAGGAGATAAAGAAAAGTACTGGGGTCACCAACTGTACTTTAACCCGCCTAGAATGGCAAGGGAACATGGTCTGCAGAGGATAGAAAGTGAGGGCAGCCAGAGAACAGGATTCGGCTCAGGATTCCCTTCACACGAGTAGCTGGGGTTCCGGGTTGTTTCTTTTTCAGCTTTATTGAAAGATAAGTGACACGCAACACTTGGCACGTTCACATACTGCACGATGACTACCACCAGATCACATCCCGCACCATGACTACCACCAGAGTATCAGCCAACACCTCTGTTTAGTCGAGCTGCTTTAGTACTCAAGTGCCCACCCTTGGTTCTTTAGAATGAAGCGTCCCCAGAGAAGGGTCACAGCCACGGCCCCCAGAAGCCACCAACACTCAGCGAAGTCCTTCCACACTCCCCAAGCAGCGCGGTGACGAATGATTTGGTTGTTGGTTGTCTGAGGACACGCCCTCCAGGAGGAAGCTGTCTCGAGCAGAACTCTGGCTCCTGCTATAAAGTAGTAAATCGATGTCTCCTGCGGTACCTCACACATTGAGGGAACAACCCCCACCCAGGGAAGGTGCCGGGCAGGGATACTCCCAGTGGGGGCCCGGCAGGTTTCTCCTCCCGCTGCCCGTTCCTCTTTTGCTGACATTCCGAACTCTCCCAGCAGACACCGGAGCTGGCACTACGGAAGAGAACACAAGAGCGCTCTTGCCTTGACATCTGGCTAGATTACCCATCTGGCTGGATCTCATAGATCACCCGGCAAAAAATGATGTGAGCAAAGCAAGGACACACCCCCACCCTGAACAGGTCCTGCACAGAAACCAACCACAAGCCCACTCCATGGCTGAGAAAGGTCTGGTAACCTCCTGGAAGTTACCTGACAGGAGAAAATGATAGAGCCCTCAGGGAGGAAAGCTGCTTCTGGAGTATGGCCCAGGGCTCACAGGCTCCACTTGCTTCAAAATGTGGCCCACCTCTCCTTTTGGGCATTCCCACCCCTCCCAACACCACTTTCCGAATGAGCCAACACAGTGAAGGCCTGGGCGAGTTCTTGGCACAGTGGCCAGCATGAATTCATTAAAACATAAGTCAGAATGTTGGCAAGGCCACGGAGTGCCTGGAACTCTTACACGTTGCTGGTGGGAACACAGAACTAGTACAACCACTTCAGAAAACACACTGGCAGCTTCCCATCAAGTGAAAACATTCATCTACCCTCTGACCCAGTGCTTCCACTCCCAGCTTTTGTCCCCGAATGATGAAAACAAGTACCCACAGAAAGACTTCGCCGAGAGTGTTCAGGCGTTAATAGCCAAAATACGAAAACAATCCAAATGTCGCTGGACAGGAGAAAGGATAAGCAAATTTTGGTTCTGTCCGCACAGTGGATCCTACTCAGCAATAAAAAGGGACTACTGACGCCCATCACAATGCGATGAGATCTCAAACTACCATGCGGAGCAAAGAAACCAGGCACAGGAATTCATATGAACAATTCCATTTACGGAACATTCCAGACCAGACAAAACAATCTCTGTGAAAGAAACCAAACAGGGCCGCCTCTGGATAGGGGCAGGGAGAGTGGGAATTGACGGGGAAGGAAGCTGTGATGGAAATGTGAGGGTGATGGAAATGTTCTGTATCAGGACAAGGTGTGGGCTTTACAACTGTGTGCCTCTGCTGAAATTGATCAAACTCTAACACTTCAGTTCTGTGCATTTCACAGTAGCCAATTGTATCAATAAAGGTCAATGTTTAACCCATAAATCAGATTATGTCATGACTCTGCTTGATGCATTTCAGTGTCTCCCCATTTGTTCGTTCAATGAATATTTAGTAACAACCACATGCCAGGCAGTGTTCTGGGCACCCTGGCTTCGGCAAAGAACGGAGACCCAAATCCTAATCCCAGGGAGCTTCTAGTCTAAACGGGAAGACAATTAACAAAGTCAGTACTTTAGATAGTACATTAGAAGTAGTCTGTGCTATGAAGGAAAATAAAGCAGAAAAGAGCAATAGGGAAGGTATTGTGGGGGAAAACTCAGCGTGTGTGTGTGTGTGCGCGCACATGCGCGCACTTTTATTTTATTTTCAGCTGCTGCAAAAAAACTTTATTGTTTTGTAATTTTAAATAGGGCAGAAAGCAAGGCATCACAAAACAGTTGACAAGTGAGCAAATCGGTGGAGGAGGTTAGAAAGTGAATCAGGCAGATAGAAGGAGGAAGGGCTTTCCAAGCCAAAGAAAAGCATCTACAAAGGACCTGGGGCAGCAGCATGACCTGACTGTCCCAGAAACAGCCAGGAGAGCAGCGTGGTTGGCAACAAACTGTGTTTGCCTTCAAAATATATGCAGGCGGCTCCTGGGTGGCTCAGTGGGTTAAAGGCTCTGCCTTTGGCTCAGGTCATGATCCCAGGGTCCTGGGATCGAGCCCCGCATTGGGCTCTCTGCTCCTCGGAGAGCCTGCTTCCTCCTCTCTCTCTGCCTGCCTCTCTGCCTACTTGTGATCTCTGTCTGTCAAATAAATAAATAAAATCTTTAAAAAAAAATATATATATATATATATTCAGAATCTGACACCCTCTTCTGTTCTCTACCACCACCACCCTGATGCAGGCCACCAAACTTCTCTTGCCTGGATTGTTCAACAGCCTCCTCGTCTTCCTGCTTCAGTCCTTGCCCACCCTCTTTTATCCATTCTTTGAAAACCTTAAGACCCACGTAATCTTTGTGCTTCTCTGCCCTTCCCCCACATACTTTCCTTGCTTTACCTCCTCGTATTTACTTTCTCTCTCACCCACATAATGGACTCACGCTGTTCCTCAAATTTTTGAGGAACACTCCTGCCTTAAGGCCTTTGGCAACTACCATTCTGAGATTTCAAACACCCTTCCTCTAAATACATGCTTAGCCAACTTCCTTCTATCTTTGCTTATATTACCTTTTTGAGGAGGCCTACCTTGATCAAACTGCTTCAAACAGCGATGTCCTCCTTCCTTGCTCTATTTATCTCATTTATTTTAAGATTTTATTTATTTGTCAGAGAGAGAGAGAGCACAAGCAGGCAGAGTGGCAGGCAGAGGCAGAGAGAGAAACAGACTTCCCGCAGAGCAAGGAGCCCGATGCGGGACTGGATCCCAGGACCCTGGGATCATGACCTGAGCCGAAAGCAGCCTCTTAACCAACTGAGCCACCCAGGCGTCCCCTTGCTCTTTTTTTTCCTTATAAGCACTAATCATGTTTTTATATACTATCATCAGGGTCCCAATTCATCCGGGCTTAGCAGGAACTCTCCTGATTTCCACACCTAAAGTCCAGCGTCCTGGGAGCCATCTTAAGTCCTGAGCACACCAGGACATTGGTGATCCTGAATAGAATTTACTAGTTTTACTTTCTTTTTTTTGTTCTTTTTTTTTTAATATGTATATTATTTATTTATTTGACAGAGAGAGAGGGAGAGATCACAAGTAGGCAGAGAGGCAGGCAGAGAGAGAGGACGGGAAACAGGCTCCCTGCTGAGCAGAGAGCCTGATGCGGGGCTCGATCCCAGGACCCTGAGATCATGACCTGAGCCTAAGGCAGAGGCTTAACCCACTGAGCCACCCAGGCGCCCCACTAGTTTTACTTTCTATCTCTCCTCAAGATCTATAAAATAACTTCCCCAAGAGCCCCGGCTCAGGAGCTGTGACTGCTGGGTTCACACAGAACAGTGCCTGGCACATAACAGGTGCTCAAAAAGTAGGACTTGACCACCTGTCCATCACTACCTTAATAAGCTTCTTGCAAGCAGTCACACAGCAAACTTGCTGAAAGTAATTAGCTGTGTGATGTTGAGCTCTTCAAATGTAATTGGAATTTGAATGGTGGAATTTGAAATGGTGGTGTTATAGGATACGACCAAAAAAAGAAACTAGATGGAAAAATTCCCATATATGTGATTCCCATATAGGGACTAACATCCATAAACCAAGCCAGGATCTTCTCAACTCACTAGGGTTCTCCAAAAATCCACATGACCCACACATTGTAGATTTCACGTAAATGGCCTAACTCAAAAAAGAGCCTGTGACACCTCTCCTCCAGCCCTCTAACTCCTATGTGAAGCAGAAGTTTCTAGTACATGCAGCCAGGGAACAGGCCAACTCTTACCTCCTGTGTAGAGAAAGGAGCCAGACAGGCCTCCAAAGTAGATGAGAGCCAAGTGCTCCAGTTTCAAAGGAGACAGGTAGTAGAGACAAGCGGCACAGACACAGCCCAAAGTGTAGAGGAAGACTCCAAACCGGACAACATCCTGGGGCTCCAAGATTCGGTCCACCAGGGTCCTGTCATCACTCTTTTTGTGGTCAATGCCCTTGGAAAAGTCATAGTAAGTGTTGACCAGATTGCCAGCCCCGTGCACGGCCAGCACAGCCACGGCACAACCCACCAGCAGCCTGGGATCCAGGACGCCCTGGGATCTGTAGGCTAGGGCACTGCCCAGGGCCACCGGCGTGAGGGAAGCACTGAAGCTCCAGGGCCGCAGGGCCAGCACGTAGGAAGCGCACTTCTGCCTCCAGGAGCGTTGGGGAAGCCTGTCCTCCTCCGGACAGTCGTTCCCCAGCAGGTCCCTGTCCCCGGACATCTCTCCCGCCTGTATGTTAATCTCCCCTGGGACCTGTGAGGCCGCCATGGAAGCTACACGTGGCTGAAGTCAAAGTTAATAGTGAACACCCGCGAACAGCCACTGGGCGCGGGGCGGGGCGGCCAGACCTGACCTTCCTTCGGTTCCGCCCCGGGGCCGGGCTGGGGAGGCGGCGGGCCCCGGGGGTAGCACCGAGCGGACCTGGCAGCCCACGAGGCCCGGCGGCCCGCCCAGACCTGCTGTCACCCGGGCGAAGCCTGTCTCTCCACCTCGCCAAGGCCCGGGCTAGAGCCCGAGGACGAGCTGCTGCCAGCCGCCCCGAGATACTGGGGCCGCCATCTTGTGCGCCCGCCTCCGGAGGCCCGCCCGGAAACAGGGGCCGACGCGCGGGCCGGGCCGAGGCGGGGGCGGGGCCTGGGGCTTGGGGACAGTGGGCGGGGCTGGCGGAAACCGCGCCTTCCACCGCATCGCTCACCGAGGATCCGAGCCCGGCAGGTGCCCCCAGACCCGCAGCATCACTTAGTACCACAAAGACGACCCCGATTGCGTGTCGCTTCACGACTTACCTAGAGCTTCCACTCAACAAAATAGGACTCATTCATTTTTTTCGTTCAACAAGCATTTACTGAGCACTTACTATGTCGTACGCAGCAGTGAAAAAATGGACACAAATCAGGGAGCACATTGAGGACGATGAGAAAGGTATGATTACCTCCCACTTTTTAAATGGGAAATGAAGCTCTGGAATAGAAAATGAAGTCCAAGAAATTATTAGCTCTAGTAATAATCACAACAGCAATAATTCCCCTCTTTTATTGTGCAATTACCATTTGCCATATACTGGCCTGCCTGCGTCTTTATCCACAGTCTAGGTTACTACTCACAACCCTCCTTCCCACTCTACCACGTGGCCAGCTCTGTGTCTTCATTGCCTGCCTTCTGGAAGCTTATGGTCCATATCTGTAGCTTGTTTCGGCTGGAGGGAGCCAAGTGTTAAATTTTTAGGAATTTTCTGAGCTGGTCATTAAGCACAGCCATTATTAAAAATTAAATTATACAAATTTATGAGATAAATTATATTACAAACAAAGGTAACAAAACTCATTACTTCCTAATTATTTCACTCCATTTTACCATTTATGTGCTTCAGATTGTTAATATCTGTGGAAATACGATATGCTCATCTCTTCCCAGCTTTCTCTTCAGTGACATCCGTTGGTAGCTTGAAATCTGCCATAGTGGGAGTATTTATACCAAACGGATCAGCAGATGCTTGTTAATTGTTTTGTTGATCATCTGGACTTAAGAAGTGACAGGGAGGGGCGCCTGGGTGGCTCAGTTGGTTAAGCAGCTGCCTTCGGCTCAGGTCATGATCCCAGCGTCCTGGGATCAAGTCCCACATGGGGCTCCTTGCTTGGCGGGGAGCCTGCTTCTCCCTCTGCCTCTGTTGCCACTCGGCCTGCCTGTGCTCGCTCGCTCTCTCTCTCTGTCAAATAAATAAATAAAATCTAAAAAAAAAAAAAGAAGAAGTGACAGGGATAAGTTAACAATGCAGATTAAACTTAAAAGTGTATCAGCTCTGTAGCCCTTACGTTGTGAATAGCAGCGGACATGAAAGAAAATATCAACCAACATCCATATCAGAACTACATCGGTCAGTTGCAGCCTAGAGAGGCTATGCAATATCTGCCCCCCCTCAAAAAAGCATGCTGTTAGAATCGATTTGCCGTGTGGAATTTGCAATAAAAAGCATGTTCATTTTATTATTGTTTATAAGTGATATGCTATACCTTATTTACATGGCGACAGTTACAGTACACATATATGTATCTGGGACAGACTATATAATTTTGGTGCCTAGTGCAAAATAAAAACATGCAGCCCCTTCTTTAAAAGTCATTAAGAATTTCAAGACAGAGCAATACGGCCTCACACAGCCATGGAGCCAGCCCTGTACCTACATACAGGCCTCTTCCCTTGTTGACTAGCTTTTCTACCACCCAGCACATTCTCGCGAGCTGGCCAGACCCAAGTGTCCTATGCTGCCAAACTGGACAAGAGGAAGAAGCAGATATTTCAAAATCCTGGCTCCATCACTCATCAATTCTATGACGCAATCCCTGTCTATGTCTGTTTACTCAAGTATGAAGTGGAAACACTGCAACCTGTCTCACAGAAGTGTTCAGGCATAAGTGATAGCATTTATCGACTGTTCACATGTGTCATAGAGTGTTTTAGGTCCTTAATGTGTATTAGCATTTAACCCCACAACACTGCCTATAGAGGTAAGCACATTATAATCCCTTCAGTTTTATGATAAAGAAATAGGTACAAAGAGATTAAGTCCTGGTTGTATAGCTAGTAAGTGTTGGAGCAAAGTTTCAGATTCAGTTACACTCCAATTTGCTTTTAACTGCTACTTGATAATATCCACCAAAATGCCTGATATTGTAAGTGCTCAGTAAATATTCATGTAAGTGCTCAATAAATATTCTCTATTATTTAACATAAGAAAGTTCTTTGTAAACTGAAAAGAGACCTATAAATGCATTGATTACTATTGCTATGAAAACATCTTTGATCATTAATTAGAAAACTGGGTCTGGGGCAACAGGGTGGCTCAGTTAGGTAAGTGTCTGCTGTCAGCTCAGGTCATGATCCCAGGGTCTTGGAATTGAGCCCAGCATTGGGCTCCCTGCTCCACAGGGAGTCTGCTTCTCCCTCTCTCTCTGCCTGCCACTCCCCTTACTCATGCACTCCCCCATCAAATAAATAAATTAAATTTTCAGGGCGGGGGAAGAGGAGCGCCTGGGTGGCTCAGTGGGTTAAAGCCTCTACCTTTGGCTCAGGTCATGATGCCAGGGTCCTGGCATCAAGCCCCGCATCGGGCTCTCTGCTCAGCGGGGAGACTGCTTATCTTCCTCTCTCTCTCTGCCTGCCTCTCTGCCTACTTGTGATCTCTGTCAAATAAATAAATAAAATCTTTAAAAAAAAAAGAAAACAGGGTCTTATATCTCAGGGTGATAAAAATATTATATATTGCCTGTGGAAATGAAAATTAGTATCTCCTTTATAGAGATCAAGTTGATGTTGTCCATCAACTACATATGCATTTATGCTGACCCTGTAATTCCATTTCTCAATGTTTATTTGGTGTAGCTGCCAGGGGAAAAAATTACATATGTACAAAGACATTCACTGCTACATCATTAATGACAGCAAGAATTTGGAAACAACACAAGTGTCCATCAACAGAGGCCTGGAAAAATAAATTATGGTACATCCATGTGATGGGATTCTATGCAGCTATAACAACAACAAAAGAATAAGCTAGCTTTCTATATATTAAGAAAGATCTCCAAGATCTACTAAAAATTTTTAAAAGATGTTATTTATTTATTCATTTTAGAGAGAGAGAATATGGGGGGAGGAGTAGAGGGAGGGGGACAAGCAGACTCCATGCTGAGCCCTGAGCCCTGCTCGAGAGGCCTGATCCCATGATGCCAAGACCCCAAGACCATGACCTGAGCACAAATCAAGAGTAGGATGCTCAACGAACTGAGCTACCCAGGTGCCCCAAGATCTACTAAAAATTTTCAAAGTCCAAAACAGTGTAGGTGGTAATGAAAGGGGAAAATAAGAATATGCATTTATACTTGCTTATATTTACATAGAGAAACTCTAGGGATACGTAAGAATTAAGAAAATAGTGAGAGGCCAGGAGTGGAGCGAGACCTTTCATGATAAATATTATTTATTTTGGATTTGAACAGTGAACACATTATATATTTTTAAATGTTTGATGATTAAATATAGAGATGTTGAACACAAGTGGAAAATATGAAATTCAGAGGGACAATTATTTCAGAGAATAAGTAGTACAATGAAAAGATTCTAAACCTAAAGCAGTAACCATGAATCAAATCAAAAAAAGAATCTGCCAAAGCGTTTTTTTTTTTTAAGATTTTATTTATTTATTTGACAGAGAGAGACACGGTGAGAGAGGGAACACAGGCAGGGGAGTGGGAGAGGGAGAAGCAGGCTTCCTGATGAGCAGGGAGCCCAATGTGGAGCTGGATCCCAGGACCCCGGGATCAAGACCTGAGCGAAGGCAAATGCTTAACGGCTGAGCCACCCAGGCGCCCCTGCCAAAGCATTTTGTTAGCTACAGAATATTGCCAAAACCTTTTTAATTTGGCACTTTAGAACTTCTGGAAACTTACATATCTTCAACAGATACTTCTTTGTATTACACAAGTAGTTGATGGTAACATATAAAGGAAAAAGTATACCTTCTCCGTATTGTATTATGTCTTAGTTGTATATTCCCTCCTGTGACTACAGACACCTAAGGAATATATAAATGTTTTATAAAGGGGTATATTATACTAATATTGTTGTATAACTTGCATTTTTTTAACAAATCATGAACCCTTTTCCTTCTCAGCAAATATTAATCTACATTACGATGATTAATGGCTCCATACGTTTTCCTTAATATGAATGCATCATATTTTATTTAATCAGACCCCTACTGGAAGCCATTGAGGAATTTGTTATTATAATAACCAAGGGGGGAAAAAAAAGAGATGTAGTCAAATTCCATTTTTGCTATTGTTTGAAATAATGTTTTTATTTTTTTCTATTCTATTTTATTTTATTTATTTTTTTAGTAAGCTTTACTAGCTCTACGCCCAAGGCTTGAACTGAGCACCAGAGACCAAGAGTCCCATGCTCCACCAACTGAGCAGCCAAGTGTCCCTGGAAGGATGATTTTAAATGATGTTATTTGGAAATTATTTATCTGGGAGAAGGTCATTTAGCTAAAACTTGGTTATGGTCTCCCGCAAAAGATCTTGTGAACTAGATAATGTTGGAAAACTGGGAAACTCTAACTAAAAACGGTTTATGATGCATACTGCATTTAACAAAAGAGAAATCGCGGGGGCATGAGTAGCACCAGTCGGAAAGTTCTAGGTCTGTGCTCCGGTAATCACAGGACACAGACGTCGCTCACGCTCCGGTTAAAGCGGGCAGGACGCACAGCCTCTGAGTCCCATTCCACCGTACCCACACCGCGGGCTACACGCCGCCACAGTGTAGATGCGGAGGGGACTAATAGCAGCG